TTAGCTTCATAGTGTAATTTCTGATCGTGGCACACGTGTATCTGCACCTTTTTTGGGTAGATGTGAAATGATTATAGACTTCTCAAATTCTGACTATGAGAACTACTTATTTAGAATCGAAATAGTGAATGTTAATCCTGACAAAGGACCCAGCTGGTATTTAGCTAAATCGCCACTTGGAAGTGTTCCTGCGTTGGAAATCAACGGGAAGGTAAGCAGACGTTTTGTTATATGTTTGAAATCTTAAAACCTTAAATCTATAAAGCTCGAATATGGCACTCTCACGCTGGTTTACTATAATAATTTTATATTAATATTAATAATTTATTAATATTAATTTTTCCAATTGATAAGGTAGTGTATGAGAGAACAGGTACAAATGAAGAGGCAAAATGGACAGTCCAATTAAACGTACTTCGTCACATTCGCTGAACAAACTTCGCTATTTCCGTTGGATTATTGCCGCTATATCCCTAGGGCATCAAATGTTCGTAGTTAGCGATTAAGTCGAACTTGCAATTCGTAAACGCTCACCATAATGTTCAGCACTATTTCGTCAAAATCGCTAACTCTTAAGCACGTCCAACATTCGAAAGCCGATTAGACGAATGGGTATTGAAGGTAACCAAAATGCGCAGTAAAACGGAAGAACATGGATACTAAAGCTGTTTTGTCATAATCAATAAAGTTGCATAAGTAGTCCAGTTGCTATTACTTACACGTCTCTGTCGGGTGATTGCATTTTAGTTCAATGAATGAAGAACAATTTAGGTAATATGGGAATCAAAAGTACTCGCTGAATACCTTGACGAAGTGTTTCCCACGACATCGGTACTTCCACGGGATCCATTCGAAAAAGCACAACAAAAGGTTATCGCCGAACGCCTCTCACCGGTAATATCCACTTTCATAGCTTCCTAAAAATTGTATCTTGATTGACTTTGCGTGAGTCATTTTTAAAAATAGAATGTGTTTCATATCAAGCTAATCTCAGAGCAGTTTTACAGCTGATGAACGTTTTATTCGACTTGTTCAACTCGAATACGCCCGCAGCCCAAGCAAAACCGCAACTCTTTGCATTCAGCGCTCCCGAAGCTCTTGCTGTAAGATAGTTTTTACGGAGGTGAGAAATAAAGATCTCGCCCTTAATCCCATAGCAGCTGCATATCAGATATTTCATAGTACGTGTTGTGCTCCGCTTAAAGAAAGTCTGTATATGCCTTACTTTAGATATATTAGTATTGATAGTTGCATTCTCGCCTCGAAGCCTCTCGGTTGCTCGTTCTCCGGTTGTTTTTTGACCCAACGATATGTCCAAGCCGCATTAAGAAAACAGGAACTCTTGAAAATTACACACCTTTTCAAATAACAACGTATTTGATCAACATGATGAATCACCTTTTTTTTTTTAATATTGCCCAATAAACACATTGTGATTCACTCAGAACAGAGATAATAGACGATAAGGGTTGATAATTCAAGAATAGAGTTAGTTCCCAACTTTCTCACTAGTAGGTAATCGACTGTGATAGGTGAGGTACGACTAAATTTGTGACTTCTTTGTGCTTTAGGTCGAACACCAGGATTCCCTGACTACATGCTATGGCCATTTCTGGAACGACTTGAGCTCATCACGCTCTCTCCTTATACACAATTCAGGTAATTTCATTTCACACCTTCACAACCGTTACTTAAAAAAATCATGGAATATTAGATGAGAAAAGGAAAATCGTAGTCGTCGAGATCTAAATACTCATGACAATAATGGGAATGCTAGGTTACCAATTTAAGTCACGGCGAATGTGAAACCTGTAAATAAATATCGTAGATCAGTAAATCGTATCACCCTGCCTAAAGTTATGAGAGATACATGGGCAAAATCTTGGGTTAATGAATAGAGACAAGGAACAAGAGTTGGAAACATAATGCCACCCTTATAAGGGACTCAACGGTTTTCATGAGGTTATGCAGGTAATCATGGCTTAATAATTTTAGATACTTCCCTGGTCTCCACTATCCACGAATGGGTGCCTACATTGCTCGGATGCAAAGTCAACCAGAGGTTTGTATTTGTTTTGCCAGCCAGTAGAAATTTTCTGAACTGCTTTCATATCTACCACCGTTCCAGGTGAAATTCGCAATGCGGCCACTATCACATCACAAAGCCTACGTGGACAGTTTTGCTGCAGGAAACCCCAACTATGATTACGGTATTTTCCACAGCGGATAACTAAACATACTCCCTATGACTGGAAACGGTGCCATTGTGTATACGTATTTTCGTCCCAAGATTCCAAGTTTGCATTTCAGGTGCAATCTTAATCCGCAGGGCCCCATTTGTAGTGTCTGTAAATAAGCTGTTAGAAAATTTTTCCGCCTGCGGACCTTTTCCCATTGCTTTTTCGTGCTATATGTAATTCTCATGCACTCAGTGACTCTCAAGTGAACCCGGTCTTTCCCATAGCATTCTAGCCAGCATCTTCATTCAGGAATTGTAGCTGCCAATCTAGCTCCCATTATTGGAGGAAGGAGTTGGAATTTTCTTAAGTTATCCCTTAGTAGATTTAATTTCCTCCACTTGCCACTGACCAGTAGATTATTTGAATACACTGCCCAGGCAAGAAACTTCTCTGAATCAGTTATACGCTGTATCGTGTCCGCCTAAAGTAGATATGGGCTAGATACGTTTAGCGTTTACAGCTGATGTGTCATTCTTTATGACTTTACACATTAACTTATTACAGATTGTTTGTACATAAAGACTACGAAGTGATAAATATTTCGAATCAGTCAGAATTGTTCGCATCATAACACTTTTAAATGAAACGAAAACAAAGGCGAATCAGAAATAGGGGGTCAAAGAATCCTTCCAGGAAAATTCTTGCGTTCTTTCCCAACATGAAATGTCAGTTGTGATCACTAGGGACAACATACAAAATTCTCGCACGAAAATTCAGTTTCCGAAAAGAACAAACTTATGGAAATACAGCGTTCGACTTTGGAGAATAGGAACAAAAAGGTAGATCGAATTAGATGCTGTAGAAGTGTGAGATGTTAGTACAATAAATCAAAAAGTCATAAAGAGTTTCTAGTGACAGCACTCCGTGAACCAAGTGGAAGCGTTCCCACCGCCATTATTTGTGACAGATGTCCGGCGCGTATTTGAACGCTAGCAGTCCTTCCAGTTCCTCCCAGAACAAACGCATTTTTTGCGCTTTTCGTTCTTGTAGTGAACGATGACTCACAAGCCAGCGATTTATGAGTAAGATAGAACCATGATTCTTCCGGGAAGGGTTCTTTTCACAATGTGCGGATATCTCCAGCCCCAAGGTGAGCTTGTTGTTACAAATGTATTAAAACGATCGCGGCACTGCCAGTCTAATGCAGCCTCAAGGAAAACTCACTAGCGCTGCGCTGCCAAGAGTGGCGCCTCCATAGTCAGTCGTCTTATCGTGACGATGGCACAGCATCGGATATGTATCGATTCCCTGGTCTGATTGGACGTTCGATACATATCGAATGCTGTACAATCGTAACGATCAGGCCACCGACTGTGAAAACGCCCGAATCGATGGACCTGAGGTTCCTGCGGCAAGAAATGCTGCGGAACCTGAATAGGTCGTTTCTTTACTAGTGAACCACACCCGTTGCCGTTTACGGTCGGTGAGGGTCGGATTATATTTATGCAGCTCGGTTTGC